TTAAATATAGGAAGCAGAAGTTGTAGCTCTCCTCTTCTTAAAATCATTGCAAGCGAAAAGTTGCAAATCATATATAATTTCACTTGTTACAGTTTCATATTTTTCATATTTTTATCTCATTTGAATTCTCCTGAAAATTAATACCTCACAAAAATATGGTTCCCTCCAAAAATTTATAGTCCCATCGAAAAACGCCTAAAAATTTCAAAAACTCGTCAAACCGTACTCTCTTTAAAAATGTTGATGGTGCCTTGCTTCATGCGACCGCCTTTTTGACACTCCTGGTTGCAGGAAAGGACAAAATGACATTCCTAAAACAAACATTAATGATTTAACTACATTATATAAAATGATACAATTCTTGGATGAAAATGGACAAAACAAGTTCAGTTTAATACTCTTTCAATTGACAAATTCGGGCCAATGCCATTATTTTTATGTTCTCCCGATCTCTATGTTCTCCCGTAAGCTAAATTTTATTCCTGCACTTATATAATTAATTAAATATCTGATTATAATTAGATATTTTTTAAATTTGGATACAAAATTCTTCAAACATTCATAAAAACACATGTTAGTGTGGAAATTAAAACATTATCGTTGTTTGGACTGAGTTGGTAATGATATTAGAGTAGTGATTTTCAGATTCGATAGTTAGCATATGTATTGACTCTATGCTTTAGACCGCTGAGTATGATGTCTAAAACCTATGGTTGCTGGTGGTACGGCATTGAACCTCGTTCTAACAATCTAACTGACGTGAAGACACATATTCCCACTTTTCCTCGACATATACATTATGCTCCTACACATATGTTTATTGATGAATAGAATTATGGACTGCCTCTGCGCACCGACAATAGCGAAGTTCTGCCTAATTAGTAGACCAACAGCGGCATCTGTCCACTTGCGTGAGCACTAATAGTACATCATCACCCTCCAACAATCGTGACCTCGCGTTGAAAATATTTAATTAGCAATGTCAACTGGGGTTCGAATATTTTAAGCAGGCACCGTTATCGCAACGGTTTCCAGCATATCGGTTCAACAGAAGCGACCTTGAATGAATTATTAGTAAATTGTACCCTATTCATTTTTAATAACACAATCTACGAATAATCAATAGTGTTTGTAGCATCTGTAATATAAACGTTCAGTTATTATTGCATCTAATGACCCAGTGGTTAGTAAGGAACAACGCAGAAGCTACTCAATTGCCTTGCATTATTTTTATTTTTTTAGGGGACTATGAACAAACAAAAATTAAGTTAATGGTAGTATTTTCTCGTCTATTCCACACTTGTCTTACTTTCTACTTGTCATTTGCTGTTTTTCAAGTGTTTTTTCTTTATTGAAACTGTACAACAGTAGACTTATTTATGTTTTATTGGTAGTAACACCGCTCAATTATGTTTTGCGTGATCTTTGACAGGTCTTATTGCATGTGTGACACTTATTATCATGTTAATTACCATGTATAAACATCTCCTAATTAACTATAATTGTGCAGAAAATCTCAGACAATGGAACAAAAAAAAAGTTGCTACGAACAAGGTATTAAATATCAAGTCTTCTCTATTTTACTTACAAAAATGGAATTGAAATTTCTTAAATAACTATGATAATTACAGAAAATAAATAAGTACTCCGAACTATACATTAGCAGAAAAAATCGAAAATTATCATCCATGCTTGTGATTCTATTTAAACAAAAAATTGTAATAAGTGAAATGGACAAATTAAAAAGATACTTTCTTTTCATTCATCTGTACTGTGCTTATGAACTTTTTTTCGATGCAGAAACCACACACGATGGAATATGGCAAAGATATTTAGTGTATCACAACTATTAAACATATTAGAAAATAATAATTTATAGGCCTATGAAGATGGACAGAATATGTTTCATGTATTTATGTTGATAAATAAAACAAATATATTTAGATTTGATTTGTAATTCGTATTGAAACAATTCCTAATGAAATCTAAAAAATGCTATGGCATACATGAATATTTTTAAATTAGCGCAGGAGCAGGGAGAGAATCAATAGGCATTATGTCATCTTCATCATTACACTTCGGCAAGCCCTACCTGGAGCGGCCCTCCCCCTATCGCGACTCCACAGCCTACGCTCTTATGTTATCCTGCCCACATGGACTTCTAGCTTAACGGTTCGTTTAACTTCTTTCAGCCTTTCATAGCCGCTGAGCCGCAATGGGAAATCTGAAAAACCAACCGCCCAGCAAAATAATTCATTGTTCGCTGGATTTCGGCCGAACCGAGTCATTGTACACAATTACAATGTGTTATAACTGTTCCTGATGTTCCCTTTCAACTAGATAAAAGTTGTATTATTAAAAAAACTAACCTAGATAATGTACTCTATAATAGATTTAAAGAGTATATTGTGAAAGTTTTTTTTTTTATTTTAAATTTATTATTGGGAAGGGTTCTAGGAATTCTAGAACAAAAGTAATTTAAATTATTATATCCTGACCTGTAGCTCTAACAACCCATGAAGGGTCTTGGGTGCAGTACAATGTGAGGAAGTAATGTTACAAGGCCAACGGTTGTGCAGGGAGGTGACGGGCCAATATCACGCTCAACCGCCAGGTTTTCTTCCCCTTTATAGAGGCTGGGTTTGCCCCAGGAGGGTCTCCCGCCCCGGGGTCGACCCTCGTCTGATGAAACATTACTAGTCATCAGCTGGATTCGAACCCGGGACCTTGATCTCTGCAAGTCAGTGCTCACCCACTGAGGTATCCCGCTTCTCTAAAAAAATAATTATATAGAAAAAATAAATTAATAATTTATTGATGTTATCTATTAGGTTAATGTTATCTATGCCGACATCTTTTCAATATTCTTATGGTCAGCCTGTACCCTAGCATCATATATGCACATTCCTCCATTGTAACCTAACAATACATTAATCTTTATACTTAGCGTAATCCTCTCATTTACTTCTTGGTCCTGATTCGTTTTATATTCATTCACTTACAACTTATTTCACTTGTTACGATGGTATGGGCTGTCTTTGTGGTCAAGCGGTTATGTCTTGTGCAACCTTAAAAATTGTTTTTTTTTTTTTTGCAAAACTTTATTCAATTGAGTAATTACGTTCCGCTTCTATCAAGATTTTTTTTATGAACACGCCACCCAAATATCGTTTCTGTTTTTATCCGCTTCTCATCGTTCCTTCTTTATCATAGGCCTTGTCCATTTCCTGCCGATATTCGTATTTTATCCCACAAGAATATTTAGTTTATTAATTTGTTTTCTAAATTTATCTCTGTCCATGTAGAATCTGTTGCTAATTTTACGTTTTTCGAGTTCTTCTATTATTTGTTTATAGATAACCTATGTTTAGTATAACATCTCAGGCTTTTCATGTTAAATATTTTATTTGTTTGTTGACCCTGAAAGGATTCATTCTGGGCAAGTGTCCGTAGAATTTGTTTTGCCTTATCGAGGTTTTTCATGAATTCCCTTATTTTATTTTAAAAGTTAAATAAATTATATGTTTAAATTAATGAACACAAGGAACTGAATAATTTTACTGCAGAAAATACAAACAAATATTTCCCATCTTTAACATTGCTTTCATTTTACTCTTGGCTTTTCTTTCTCAATTATAATCATAGTGTTTATAACTAACGGTGGAGTTTGTAAATTAGATAATTACATTGAACTATTTTTTTCAATAATTAATTTTATCAATAATAATTTTATATATTTTTTTTTTGCAGACGTTATGTTTTCTTGTTTGCATTTAAGTGCGTAACGGGTTAGCTCAGTGACTATGGCACTGTGCTTCTATGCTCTTGGCCCCGAGTTCGACTCCGGTTGTAGCACATAATTATTTATTCTGTTACAGCCTGATAAAGTACTATTTAATTATATAAATAATTAGGGTGATATTTGACTCTTTTTTTTTTTTAAATATATTTACATTTTAAAGTTTGAGTTACCTTCCTTGAGAATATTCAGAACCATATTCATCTTTATAAAATTTAAATTTACATTAAATAATAACATCAAGAATTCATTTTATAACGTGTTTTTGAAAATGTTATGCACTTATAAAGAGGGTATACCGTGGCTTTATTTTTTTAGTCTTTCTATTTAGAAAGTAAACAATATAAACTTTGTCCATCGTCTGATTTCAGATCTAAGAATCGAAATTATTAATATTATAGAATGCTAGTATGAAACTATACTATGCTAGAATGAAACTAAAATTTTTAAACGAGAAAAAAATAAAACAATGTTCTATCTTTCTCTTCAGAATTGTGATATATAGTTATTTATTCTTTTATAGGCTATGTAAAGTATTAAATTAAATCAAAGGTTTTAATTAAATAATTATCAGAGATGCGAGAGGCACTGGGATCTCCTAGAGTCCGGCTCCTCCTTCTATGAGTATACCTCCAGTTAAGATGTTATTTTTTTCAGTTCAAGTTAATTTTTTTTTGGCATATAGTTATTTTTAGTATCTTTATTTTGCTGTTGTTCTATTTAATTTATTTGTATTAATTGTACAAATGGTATGAATGGTCTGCTGTTTTACTATTTACTGGTGTCCTTAGTTGTGACAGAATGTAATATTATTCAATAAAAAAATGTTATTAAAATAATAAATTATTAATATTTTTGTCGAGGCCTAATTTAGGTAATAATCTATCAAAGAGGTCGATTATCTATGAGATCTGAAATAAATTTTAACGTAGAATCTTAAAGAAAAATTATCGCCATTACAGTCAGAAATATAGTTTCTAATGTCTTTTCATTTAATTTAGTTCCCATTATGTTCCGATCTATTAAGAATAAATAATGGAATGTAAAGAAAAAAGAAAGGATAAATTTACGACATTTCATTTGTTGTTACCGTTAATAGTTCTGAGACGCTATCTGGTTATTTATAATCCCTGTTACTAATAACACGTAAAACTCGGAAGGGAGACTTGTAAGGATAATTAAGGGAAGGATATATTGCCTGCTAAGGAAGACGGGGGCGCTGTTGCGGAAACGGTGAAATAGAGAAAGGAGTAACCCTAGGAAAGAGGCAGGTGAATCCTTGTAAAGTAGATTTAGGGAGAGGAGGAGGGAGATAAATACCAGGACCCTTACAGTCCCTCCTTTGAGACAATGACAGCACAACGCTCCTTACATCCCTCCGGTCCTGCAGCCGTTTAGTTACTCTCTTTAACGGCGTCTTTGGCTTTTGTGTCGGCTGGGTGTTCTAAGGAAATGGAGTTGAATTTGTGGAGAGTAGGGGGGTAGTTACGATTCCCAGGAATCGTAATAGAGATGGTAACTAGTTATTACCATATAATAGGAATTGATTTATTTCAGGTAACGTGTTCCTGTTACATCTAAATCACTTCTTGAGGTTATTTTATATATCAAAAAGATGATGGGTATACTCAGAGTAAAAATTGCCGACATTCTGGTGGATATTATTTGTCTTCTTCGGTGCTGTTTAGGCAACTTTTCCAATTATGGCCAAATAACTCTAAGGCAACATTCTAGTTTTCAAGCAGTAAAGTTTATCTTAAGGGGTTGGTAGGTTAATGATTGTGCAAAAAAAAAAATAGCTTACCGTCTATATGCCAGCCTACATCTTTTTTACCTGGAGAGCCCTCCTTACGGGACTTCTTGTGCTGGAGATGGTGTTTGGCCAGTGGCTGCCGATGTAATGGGGAGATACAATCAGTCCCTCTCAAGGCTTAAGTATTATCTTTTCTCTTTCAGATCTGCCCCCACCACTCGCCGTATCGCGGGAGAATTTAAATGAAAACCATTCTTTGGCACAACCAGGTGCAGAAGAAGTAGACATTGTTCTATGGTCTCACGTCTTCTGGAAATAGGAGATTTCTCGTTCCTAGATGAAGCGAAAAGATTTTTTTTTTTTTTTTAAATAGGTTTCTATAATACTAGACATTATTTCTATTACTGAATAACCTAGGGGGAGGAGGGGCGGAGCGGGTTTACATATTAAAAATTAAAAAAAAACAGCCACTTATAGGCTACTTCACCTGCAAAAGTCCATATCAGGTGTGAGCAACTATCTCTTACTGACTTCATATATCGGGCTATCTCAGAAGTAGAAGAGTATAGTAAAAGGACGCCTCCTCGAGTAATGCAGATGGCTTCTCAACAGATTTAAATCGTGGCAGCGGTCTTCTGTTTTATTTATTTTGGAAAGGAGCGGGTCATTAGGAAGAGAAGGAAAGAAAAAAAAAAAAAACGAGAATTGCCCCAGCTCCATTCCGGGCCAACTCTAGATGGAATTTTAAGCCAGTGCTCCACGGGAGGGCTTTATCGCAACCGATTGGCCAATCTTCTAATTCTTCCCTTAAATTATTTTATTTTTATTTGAATCGTTCTAAGAATTTTCATTAATTTCCCTGAATAATTTTAGAAGAAAAGAAAAAAATATAATTCTTCAATCCTCTCAAGGAACCTCCTTTCTATAACTTCTAAGAATATCATAGCATTTATAAAAATAAAACGCAGTATTATATTTTCAAAACAATTTTAACTACTTTGCGAGGTAGAGGCTAAAGCAATATTACACTAACGTAAAAAAACAATTAAGTAGCGTGCTACTTAATAGAACCCAATATGTAAGAAACCACCCCTCAGTCTGTCTAAAGGCGGACCAACAAATGAAATTACAAATTAAACAAATAAAAAAGGTGTATAAAAAATAGAAATGGTCAAAACAGAGAATACATACAAAATTCCTGAACAGTTAATAAAAATCTGGGATTGGGGCGCAGTATCCGGAAACCCGCACGGCGGTTGTGTTTTGCGGATAATCCACCTTGCATGTAAAATAAAATTCTAAAAACTTTTTTATATAGTAGAGAGATGATTTAGGACCTAGAATGAAACCAAACACTACATATTTTTTTTTTTTTTTTTTTTTTTTTTTTTGACTTCATTCTTCAACTCACACCTGTCAGAAGTTCCGACAATCAGCGAGTGTGATGTCAAGATGAAGAGATTGGTCTTGGAATAGGCGTGAGGGAGAGGAGTACCCAGCGGCGTCCTTCCTGTCTTGAGCGTAATATTTCTAGTTAGTGGAGGAGATACCTCATCCAGCTTCTTTTAAGCCTCCTTCGGGTGCTATCGGGCATGTTAGTTGTGGCCATGCCTCGAATCAATGAGTTTGTATGTCCGTGTAGGTTATTATGGAATCGTTTGTAGTATGTTCGTATGTGGTCGTTAACTGTTGGCATCTGTAAGTCTTTATGTAGAGTAATGTTACTGACGTACCAGGGAGCTTTGGTAATAGTCCTGAAAGTTTTAGATTGAAAAGTCTGTAATTTACGTATGTGAGTCTTTTTGGCTGTCCCATATATCTGTAAAGCGTAGGTCCAAATAGGCTTGAGTAGGTAAGTATATGTATTCAATTTCTGTCTAAGTTTTAATTTCGAATTTCTTGCAAGGAGTGAGTACAATAGGCGTAGTCTTAGGTTTAGAGTTTTTGTTTTGTTTTTAATATGTTGGCCCCATGTCATTCTTCTGTCAAAGGTCAGTCCAAGATATTGAACTTTGTCTGTCTGAGGAATTTGGATATTGTCAAGGTAAATAGGGGGGCAAGTTTCACGTCGAAGGGTAAAAGTGATATGTTGTGATTTGTCAAGGTTGAGTCGAATTTTCCAGAGTTTGCACCAGTCGTAGAAATTGTTTAGGTGATATTGTAAAGTCTGTGAGGCGTATGCTGAATTTTGATTTCTTGTCAAGATTGTTGTATCGTCTGCGTAAGTCGCGGTCAGAGTATAGAGAGGATCTGGAATATCATATGTGTAAATAATATACAACAGAGGAGCGAGTACTGACCCCTGAGGCACCCCTGCTAGGGCTGGTTTAATGGTAGATAGTTCTGTACCTTGGCAAACAGAGAAAAATCTGTCAGAAAGAAAAGATTGAAGAATAAGATAGTAGGTTGGAGGGAGTATAGTCTTAAGTTTGAAAAGAAGTCCCTGATGCCAGACTCTATCGAACGCTTGAGCAACATCCAGAAATACTCCTGTTGCATATAATTTGTGCTCTAGTGCTGTCGCAATGTAGTCTGTCACTCGGTGTAGCTGATGAATGGTTGAGTGGTGTGAACGAAATCCAAACTGATGTTCAGGTATTATGTTTTCAGTAGTCAGTATGTCAAGAAGTCGTTTGTAGAGAAGTTTCTCAAAGATTTTAGAGCATAATGGGAGCAAGCTGATGGGTCTGTATGATGAAGGAAAGTCAGTGTTTTTGTTAGGTTTGTGAATCATTTTTATGAATGAGTATTTCCATTGTAAGGGGAATTTAGTCGTTCTGAGTATTGCGTTATAAATTGATGTTAGGTATACTAGAGCTTTCCTTGGCATTTTCTGGAGCACTTGAGCATTTATCAGGTCATGACCGGGAGCTTTCTTTTTAGGTAACTGTCTGATTTGTTCTGCAACTTGAGTGGGAGTGAAGCAAAGTGGAGGTAATGACAGTTGTAAAGGAATGTCTAAAGTGTTTTGTACATGTCTTTCGTGATCAGTATTAGAGAAGTCAGTATGTGGTATGAAAACAGAAGAAAGATGGTTGGCAAAGAGCTCAGATTTTTCAAGGTCTGACACAGCCCAGGAACCATCTACGTTTCGGAGTGGTGATGACACCTCACAATGCTTTACAAGTTTCTTAGTCTGTCTCCATAAGCTTCCATCGTCAGTCGAAAGATTTTTGAGGTAATTGTCGTAGTTCGCTCTTTTAAAATTCTGAATCTGTCGTTTAAGTTCATTGTTAAGTCTATTGAAAGTCCGTTTGTCAGATGGAAGTCGACCAGTCTGCCACACTTTGCGCGCTCTTCTCTTTGCTCTGATCAGGTCTCTAATGTACTGCGGATAGATTGGAAGAGACGTATTTCTGCTAGGTCTTGGTACAGATGATGACCATACAGCCTGTTGTAAGCTGATTGTGAACTTATCAACAGCTTTTTCGAGTTCCTCTTCGGTCTTAAGGGACATTGGGATTGATAGCGTCGAATTTAAGTAGTCGCTGTAAGCTTTCCAATCGATTATCCTATCTGTAAGTGTTGGTTTTTTTGATGCAGTACGAGGCTCATCGCATAGTACCAAACTGAGAAGAGAATGATCAGAACAAAGATCAGAGCTTGCAGTTACAGTATACGGCACTGTCCTGAGTCCTTTAGTAATGAAAAAGTCAAGTAAATCTGGTGTTTTCTGTCTTGAAGTTGGCCAGTAAGTAGGTGTATCAGGTGAGATCGTGTTTAATGAAAGCTGATCGATGGCAGACTTTAGATTTCTTCCTCTAGGAGTACAGAGTCGTGATCCCCAGGACTGATGTTTGGCATTATAATCACCACCTGCAATAAAACACCGACCGAGATGTTGGAAAAAATTGTAAAACATTGCAGATGTTAGCACGTATCTCGGAGGGCAGTACACTGCAGCGAAGGTAATGGTATGGTGCTGGGTATACAGAGTAATTGCTGTGGATTGTATGTCAGGTGTAATGGGTAATTGTAAAGGGTTGTGTTTTAGTGATTGCTTAATCAGTATTGCCGTACCGCCATGTGCCGTCTTATCAGGGTGGTCAGTTCTATATATTTTGTAGCCTGGAATGTAAAATTTAGAATGTGGAGTCAAGTGTGTTTCAGTGATGAGAGCAATGTCAGTCCGTTTTTCATGTATGTACATGTCAAGTTCAGTCCTGTGTTGGTTTATACCATTTGCGTTCCAGAGAAGAACGGACATGGAGCCCACTGTCAGCCGATTAGTAGCCATAACTGGAGGATAAGGCTTGTGCAACGTGAGACAGTTCTTGGAGAAGGCTGAAAAGAGGCTGGATGAGGTTATTCAATCCACTTACCAAGTTGAAGAGCTGAGCTGAAGCCGGGTGATTGTAAGTCGGTAGTGGCGGTTGAGTAATGCCCTTTTTCATTTCTGGATGCTTTGGCTGGTGAAGGTGATTTTCTGGGACTTCTGTAGGAGAAGTTCGCAGTTTTGGTCCTAGATATTGAGAATCGGGTTTTGAAGAACCTGAATTTGCGGTATGCTGACTTTGCGGAAGAGAAGGAAACTCGTCTATACCTGGGGGTGCGCTAGTTTGTGCTTTTTGGGGACTTTGTATATTTTTACGGAGATTGCGTACTTCCCTCAGTTGTTTTAGAGTTGCACAACCTCTATAATTTGCTGGATGGGATCCGCTACAATTCGCGCATGTTGCTGCGGTCTCTCTTGTCTTTGTGCAGACGGTGCTATCATGTCCTTGGCCACATCTCACGCACTTCGGGGAGAAACACTACATATAACAAACAAAATAATGATTGATAGCACTTACTGCATATTGAAACTATATGTATATAAAAGTAAGAACTGATTATGTATCAAGGACTACCTTGATTGATTCTACATATTCTAGTATGTAAATAGATTATTATGAGGTCGTCTACTTTATACACCAATCCACCAATACTCCAATACATCATTCCTAAAGAAAAAAAAAAACTGGCACTTTGGGGTTTTAGTGAAGTCAAATAGAACAATGGAAGCACTACGTCATCATGAATATTACATTTAATGTGTGTTTAGCGATAATGGTCCTCCTGAAAACTTCAATTATATCTAAGGCCTCTGTGTAAGCCTGGTTGACTCTCTAACGTCTCTAACGTTAAACAACTATATCCAGATGGAACAAAGAGATCATAAATTGAAGCTTCTTATTGCCAGACACAAGATAAGGGCCCGGATAACACAGTAGAGCCACAAATCGGTATTAATTAAGAAAAACAGTAACTCGGAAGGAAGGGACAAAGGTTGCAGGATCAGATAGGGCACAGTTACTGGGGCCCCCTAATCCTGCCCTAAGACCGGCAAAGAGGGCCGTAAAAGGGTCATTAAGGGCCGGCTCGTTAATCAGGGGATCTTCCGCAACCGGCCTAACATAAACAACGGCTCGTCTCATCAATCTCGGCTCCTCCTGTCTCTATCCTCCTCTAGAAATTTATTTATCTGGTCTCATTCCTATTAGCTCGATAGTCTGTCCGCAGCGGTTATATGGTTGGGTTTTTATTCCCATCCTACTTCCAGCTTGCAGAGGAACTGATAAAATTAAACTACTAAAAATTCACTGCTGCTTTGGGAATCCATAAGAAAAAGGAACATTGAAGAAATCCATATATTTAATATTTTTACAATAAATAAAAAAGTAAATAATAATACTAAAATTAAATGTATATAAACAAAAGAAACTTTACTAATCAAAATGACAACTTAAATACTTTTATACAAAATGCATTTGATCAGAAGAACTCCAAGCCAAGCCTTTCCCGCCACTCATGGAGGAAAAGGCAGGACTCGCGGAGATCACAACGCCTCTCGCTCCGCCCCAATACTGGTATTAGAACCAGTGAGGGTGAGCAGCAGTACTGCAATACACTAATTAGCACTAACTGGATGCTCAGACATTTTGGATATGAAGCATTTTATTACACATACATATTTTTTATTTGGAACGTCAGTATTAAAAAATATTTTTAAGAAAAGTGGAATATTATCCCGTCACCTTGATGCGATCAAATATGTTTATTCTCACTATCAAATTAATTTAATCTATTATTTTAGAAAGGGTATTAGCTCTTCAGATAATGCTTAAAAATCACGATGTATCATATGATAAACATTGAAATACATTTTTTTCTTGATTTATCTGACTACTCATACCTCCCTCAACCTCTCCTACTGAGAAGCATTTCATCACTTTGGTGCTAGTCACATTTCTACAAAAAATGATTCAATTGAAAATATAATTTTTTTTAAACAAGATCGTTAATAATTTGGTAGGAATTCAGCATCTATTAGCTAGAAGTTAGCGATATCTGCAGTTGTAATCCCAATTGCCATTGTTACAGAATCATATATACAGAGAGGCAGAAGTAAGGGAAATATTCCTGGAAAGGTACATTATTTCCAGGAGGGTAATATGGAAACCAGGAGTGAGAGTGAATTATTTCTTTATAAAGAGCGAGGAGAGAGAGAGAGGGAGGGTGGAGAGGGGGGGGAGGGGAGGGTAAGGAGAGGAAAAATGAGCGAGGAGCTCAACAGCTACCTTCGATTACTCACCCCGTTGGCTGGGAATTTCTTTCCCACCTCCTCCATCAATCTCAGTCGGCAAAATCATTTTCTGTTTTATGATTTATATCCGGACCTCACGATATGGGTCCCCTCTGGTTAATCGGAACCATTTCAGGCCTCAGCGGTAGGGGCCCTCGGCCCGAGTTTGGGTATTCCACAAAAAAAAAAAAAAAAAAAAAAAAAAAAAAAAAAAAAAAAAAAAAAAAAAAAAGAATTGCCGATCGTTACATTGAGAGTTGTTCAATACATTGAGATTGTAATCCGGCTTCAAGGAAGGGTGGATATTAACAACCAAATATATATTATGGTTCGTTATTGAGTTTAACATTTATTCTTCGAATTTTTCATTTTAAAGTAAACCTATGGGAACATACTAAATATATTATCTAAAAAAAAAAGAGTGGGACAGACATTTTAATGTTATTAATGCATTAAATAGGTTTAATGTAGTTTTAAACTTAACATTGATGAATGTTGAGAATATTAAAGTAAAGAAAAAAAATTATTCTTTAAAAACCAGGGCTTAAAACGAAATTTTAACTTTTATCTATATTTAGTTACTTTGGTAGAATGTTTTTCAATGGCACTTAACGTACTTATATATGAAGTCTTCAAGGATAGATAAGCCCTTATAATTTTACTATTTATTCAATTTATAACGTTTCGAGATACTTTGCTCATTTTCAAGTTATCTATAAATAGTCTAAAAACATTGTTAATAATAATGATCAATAATTATCTAATTACAATGTTGTTGTTTATGATATTAGTAATATTCCAGTTATTAATTTCCTTTTTTCCCGAATGATGCACCTGTTCTTCACCACAAGTTGTCTGCATGTCTGCATCAGAGAAACTCCCTCTTAAAGTTTTCTTTCATGATTACGAGCCGTTCTGAAAAAAAACTTCAAGTAAACATTAAAATAAAAAAATATTAATATAAAGACATAGAGCTTTATATCTAAAATGATATCGATATTCCTTGATTCTTTTTTCCTGAACAAAAAATATATTAAACTTACCAAGGACAAAAAAGATAATTAATTATTGATTTTATATTATAGCATGAAGTACAATGTAACACATATGGGGCATGTTGAAGCGTTTCAATTTGTCCCTCGATTACGTGTTGCAGTGTGCCCCGAACGATCTTTTTTTACGTTTGTATAGTCCTAATAAGAAACAAGAACTTTTGATGAATTTTTCAATCATATTTATCATGCCAATATGAATGTGAAAGTACACACATACCACACACATACACACACACACACACACACACACACACACACACACACACACACACACATATATATAACTTTTATTTTTAATCAATTTCAGTATCACTATTTTACAAAACTATTATTTTTAAAAAACTTTTATTTAACAGTTGATTTAGACAAAAAGTCTATCTATAAAATGATTTTTGTTCTTAACTACACAAACGCAGGACGCATTAGAATCAATCTAACAATGTATGGTTGCATTGTAGAGGTATATTGATGAGTGTATATTGATGGTATGAATCAAAATGAAATGTTTGACATCTCGTTATTTAATCGCCATACCTCGTATCCTATATATTATTTCTAAAAGGTATTTTTTTTGTCGGTAAACCATAATTTCGTCAATTATTCATCATATCCAATGATTCTCCACTCATTTTGAAATATCCGGAAATATCTGCCGTAATATCTGGAAAAAAAGTTATAAAGAAAAAGAAACTTTATTTGCGAATAATTCAAACCGTAAGATTTTTTTTATTTCAACCATGATAATTATAAAGATTGCTAAATTACTTACAAAACAAACATATAATCGTAAAAACAGGACAATTATTAACAAAGTTGCAGTCCATTAGTTTTTGTATACTTAATAATATCTTCCTCTTTAAAAATATTGCATTTAGGAATAGAATAGTCTACTACACTTTTTTTCCTGGCTGATGTATTAACATTATTATTTTTTAAAGGCATTTGTTTGTTCTTACATTATATTTTTTTCAAATAATTTAGAAAATCCTATGATCGGGGCATTATTTTGTCTTTATTACTTTTATTATCTTTCCAGCCTGCTTCTAAAAATAGGTCCTTGCAAAGCAATTTGTACAAACATTTTGATCTATTATGTTAAATAGAATATTGTAATCAACCAAGGAAAAATATTTATTGCTTTCTTACCTAATACATAGGATCTACTTATTTCCATTAGTTTTGCTATTTCTTCACTAAACAAAATTCGCACGGGCCAACTAGTATATGGTTTAATTTTATAACTGTTTTCAATAACCAGACGATACGTCAAAATTAAATCTTTTAATAATTCTTTTAAAGGTGACTATTCTACAAAACTTCCCTTTTCAAAAGTCCGTTTTCATTATTGCGCAATGATATAAAAAGTCCACCTTCTCAAATGTCCTATTTCATCATTAGATAAATGGAAGGCAGTTTGAGCTAACAGAGCTGAAGGATTCGAGGAATTTTCGTAAAGGTCATTTGTAGTGGTCTCCTATGTCCATAAGAGCCCCTTAGGCACTTCCTACCTGAGCTCTATCCTCCAGGATCACGAAGGACTGGAGAATTGAACCCCCTTTGGGAGATGAACGGAGCCTGGAAGAGCCGCCCTTATGAATGGAATGCTAAGGGTAGGGCAGCTGATATCTCACTCGAGGGGGCCCATTTATCACAAAGGCCATTTGTTAAAAGTTCCCCCAACACTCTCCTCCGGATCCATCATGTCCCATTTTTTTCCCTCCTCATTCCCTCTCCTAATACAATATCCTTTTGCTAGCCGAGGCTAAAGGTGATATACAAGTAACTTTATTTATTTTGTCTCATTTACCGGCTGTTTTACCAAGGTCGGGTCGATATCTTCACCATCAGTTCCTTTTATGTCGTTTCGTTACATTTTTCTTAGTACTTGTGACGTATCATGTCTTCCAATCTTCATTCCTTATTGTTCTTATACTATCATAAGTAGTAGATATGGGTATATAGTCGACTGATCAATTATAAGGATGAAACAAAAAATTTCAGGAATTTCAGTAACAATTTTTCTTTCAGCATTTTCATAAGTAATATATTTAGAGTTTTACAGTGATGTTTCAGATTGTGAATTATAGTAACTGCACTATTATAATTTCTAGTATTGTTTTTTGCGGGGAGGAATTGGTTTCTTTAAATTTGATTTTACTTATACTTCTTTTTTATAATAATAATAATTATTGTCATGATTTATTCTTTATCACTTTAAAAAAATGTATTTTTCTGGAGTTGGGAAGAATTAACTTTAACCACTTCACGTCATTTTTTTAGTTCTATTGGATATTTAAGAAGCCCCTTACAATTCTCGATATCTTCACCATCAGTTCCTGTTATGTCGTTTCGTTACATTTTTCTTAGTACTTGTGACGTATCATGTCTTCCAATCTTCATTCCTTATTGTTCGTATACTATCATAAGTAATAGATATGGGTAAATAGTCGACTGATCAATTATAAGGATGAAACAAAAAATTTCAGGAATTTCAGTAACAATTTTTCTTTCAGCATTTTCATAAGTAATATATTTAGAGTTTTACAGTGATGTTTCAGATTGTGAATTATAGTAACTGCACTATTATAATTTCTAGTATTGTTTTTGCGGGGAGGAATTGGTTTCTTTAAATTTGATTTTACTTATACTTCTTTTTTATAATAATAATAATTATTGTCATGATTTATTCTTTATCACTTTAAAAAAATGTATTTTTCTGGAGTTGGGAAGAATTAACTTTAACCACTTAACGTCATTTTTTTTTAGTTCTATTGGATATTTAGGAAGCTCCTTACAA